CTGTCGCAGTTAAGTAACATTGCAAATGAGGAAGCGGAACGGCCCCTGGTGATTCCATGCTGAGTGTAACAGATCTCAATTATGCTTATCGGGATGGCAGGCACTCTTATAAAATGTCAGCTATATATTCGATCTAATTATTTGCCTACAATTAAGATAATTGGGTGACATTTTGACGGTAACTACTAATTCCATGCTATATAAAATGTGAATTTACAATAGCCTTCAATCAACATATCAGACAGACTACCTCTGTAGAAGAGACATATTAAAAAGGATGAGTTAATGGATTCACAAAGTTCCATTTTTGCACTGTTTAGGAAAACCCATGATAAAAAGTTCATCAGGGCCCGGGGATTTATTCTGCTTTAATCAGTCCGTTTTATTACCATATCACAGTAAATTTGTGATATTACATAATTTATTTTACAAAAATTAAGAAATGTCGTTTGTGTTCTTCTTGTGTGAGAACCAAGGGTAAATATTTCTTGTGTTAGAAGAAGAGGTGGGACGAGACATTGCAACTCTCGTTACCAGTAAGCTGCTGTCCACCGTACTCCATGACTTTAAATAATACTCGTTCTTTGTTATTTTCCCGGGTTTAGGACTGAAGAAAGTCACTCGTGGCGAACGTTTCGCTTAGTAAATGTCCGACTTTCATAAGTGTCTTTTCGCCCACAATTGTCAGTATCACTATTTTTCAGTTGTCTAGAGTTTGTTTTAAGAGACCCTAACCTTATTTTTAACCTTTCTACATATACCTGGAAAAAGGCCTTTCGGGTTTTGTATTCGAATCCACTTCAATTTAAATTCATTTCAACTTTAATTTCATATCTGTTTAAGCTTAATCTATCCCCTCTATTTTTTTACTCCCTCTAATGTGCAATAACTATTGATTTATAAGATGACCCTTTCACTTCTTTTGATATCGCCTCTAAAGTCCTTTCTTCTGCCCTAACAAGATGCTTTGACTTTATCGTTCATCAAGGAATATAAACACTAAGAAACGTTTACGCCAACACAGTGGTCTTCATCAAGTCGACATTAAATGGTATAAATACCGACAGGTTGTGAGGTAAGTCCCCATATTTGCATATTCATCAATCACAAACAGATCTACTGGGTAAAGGTACGTGAGCATTTATGAGGATGGAGTCAGGATTCAAATTATAATGATTAAGTATTTATATTTCCATTATTGTGTCGGTATTTTATGCCATTTATTTCCATGTACATCCATTTCGGATAATTTCTGGTCAATTTATTTTTCTCGATGGAATATCGTTCTTTGGGGCTGCAGCATAGTAGTTTAGAAGACTGTCATTATTGAGAGCTCTACTCGTTACTTCCAGTCCAGAGATGACAGGTGTTTTCTAAGTTCATTGTAATCTGCTAAGCGAAAATCTGAGATCGTTACACACACACACAGAATGTTTCAGAGATGGGACACAGCAACAAGGGGTTAGTAAGTGGGTCCCAACTGAACCAGGGTAGGTTCTACTGTCCCATGGTAGGTTCTATAACCCATGGTAGGTCTTATTGACTTACTTCTGGCAAACAATGAATCCCTTGTTAATAATTTAGAAGTTTCAGAGGAACAGGGTGCTACGACCACAAATCAATTACATTTAGAATTGAATGGAAGTATGATAGTAGGGATAACTCATAACAGTCCCAGATTTTGCTTAGCAGATTACGATGGGCTTAGAGAACACTTATCATCTTTTTGACTGGGGGTAACGAAGAGACTATCAATAAGGACAGTTTCTGAACACAATACACTGCGCCAAAGAACGTTTATCCCTTAAAAAGAAATTAGATCAAATAGAAATGACCCAAAATAGATGAATAATTAGGCAAATATCTACAAAGGCATAAGAAAGGAATTTATAGGCGTATCCAAAAGAGCCGAGGGTCATCTTATGAATCAGTATATGACATTAAGAGGGACATTAAAAAGGGGATAAAGAAAAGCTAAAAGGACTATGAAATTAAAGTTGCTAGGGATTATAAAACTAACCCAAAAAGTTTTTCCAGGTATATAGAACAAAAGTCAGAGATAAGAAAAGGACCCCCTTAAAAATAACTATGGGCATCTTACTGACAAGAGAAGGGAAATGTGCTCGATTTTAAATAATATTTTCTCTCGGTTTTTTACACAGGAAGACACTAATAAAAATTCCGGTAATTAATTTTTATATTGGGGCCAGAAGATAAATTATGTAACATCACAGCCCACTAGTGAAAGGGTTTTGTGAAGGGCAGATAACCCAACTGAAGCAAAATAAGTCACCGGGCCCTGATGAGGTTTTTTCAAGGGTTCTAAAGGAATGCAAAATGGAAGTCTGTGAACCATTAACTAATATTTTTAATTTATCTTTTTCAAACAGGTTGTAGTGTCTGATATGTGGAAGAGGGGCTAATGCAATTCCTATTTTTAAAACAGGGGGACAATTTTCGTTACCGTCAAATTACCGCCCAATAAGCCTGACCTCAATTGTAGGAAAATTTACGAGAGTCAATTATAGCTCAAATTATAAGAAGCCATCTCGATAAAACATAGCTTGATTAATGATACTCAGCATGGATTCACAAGAGGCCGGTCTTGTCTAACTAATTTTTAACTTTCTTTAGTAAAGCTTTTGAGGCTGTTGGGACCACGATAAAGAATTTGATATTATTTACTTAGATTTTAGTAAGGCATTTGATAGAGTTACCCCCACCAAAGACTGTTGAAGAAAGTAGCAAATCATGGCATTGGGGAAGAGTGCTCTCGTGGATCGAATCATGGCTCACAGACAGGAAGCAGGAGTGTCCATAAATGGGGTTAAATCCGAGTGGGGATCAGTAACAAGTGGCGTTCACAGGAATCAGTCTTGGGCCCGTTGTTGTTTATAATATATATAAATGATCTTGATGAAGGAAATTAACTAGTGAAAATGAGCAAATTCGCCGATGACACGAAGAAGGTAGGATAATTGATTCAAACGTAGATGTTAGGGAACTTCAGGAAGATTTAGACAAAACTCTACTCTTGGGCAGAAAAGTGGCAGAATGCAGTTCAATGTAGATAAATGCAAGGTTCTGAAGCTCGGGAGGGGTCCATAACCCTAGCACTTATAAGTTAAAAAATGTAGAACTAGCCTACAGATTGCGGAAAGGGACTTTGGGGGGTTTTGGGGAGCAGCAACCTTAAACCAAGACAGCAATGCCTAGGCGTGCGTAATAAGGCAAATAGATTACTGGGATTTATATCAAGAAGTGTAAGCAACAGAAGTCCAGAGGTCATACTGCGCTTTATACATCTTAGTAAGGCCTCACCTAGATTATGCAGCTCAATTCTGGTCTCCATATTACAGAATGGACATTTAATTCGTTAGAAAACATTCAGCGTAGGATGACTAAATTAAAAACATAGCATTAGAAACTTCCTTATGAAGAAAGATTGAAGACTCTTAAGTTACATTCACTTGTTAGACGAAGAATGAGGAGACCTGATCGAAGTGTATAAGTGGAAGATAGGTATTAATAAAGGGGATATTAACAAGGTCTTGAGGATATCTCTCCAAGAGAGAACCCCCAGTAATGGATTTAAATTAGATAAGTTTAGATTTAGAAAGGACATAGGAAAGTATTGGTTTGGAAATAGGGTAGTTGATGAGGGGAACAGTCTACCTAGTTGGGTTATTGAGGCTAGGACTTTGGGTAGTTTCAAATTTAGGTTGGATAAGTACATGAGTGGGAGGGGTTGGATTTGAGAGGGACTTGCACATCGGAGCTTGTTTCTTGGGTGGCAATGAAAATTGGGTTGGTCAAATGTTTGTCAGTGGGATGAATTGTAAAGGACCTGCCTAGTATGGGCCAACAGGCCTGCTGCAGTGTTCCTCCTTTCTTATGTTCTTATGTTCTTATGATAAGTAAGTCTTACTCACACCCAATCGTCTCAACCCAGAATAAAGAGCCTCAGGTTATACTTGCTAGTATATCGTACATGAACTTAATAAGCACACATTGCATTCCCAAGCAAAAAAAGACGGGGGATTATTTAAACACAGACGATAAAGAAAATTAAAAATCTCCAGGTATTAGTTGGGAAAAACTGTGTTTACAAATACATGTTTAAGATAAAATATGTAAAATTCGACACACAAGTTTCTCAAATACACAGAGTGCGGGAAAAAAGTTGCTTTACCAACAAAAATAAATTTAATATATATTATATAAAAATATATAAATATATTTTATAAATAAAAATAAATAAATATAAATATTTTAATTTTTTAAAATAATTTTTTAAATTTTTTTTAAATATATATAAAATTAATATATATATTATAAATAAATTATATATATATATATATATAATATTTTATATATATATTGCAAAAAACCACTCTGAAAAAATAGAGAAATTTAAGCGCTTTCCCGGGGCTCTCACATTATCAGGCTTGGGAAATTTTTCCCATTCCTTTTTAGAGTGGTTGTTTTGCAAATTCGAAAACACCTGTTTAAATGGATCTTAAATTTCATATATAAATTTAAAAAATATAATTAAAATAATATATATAAATATAATTTATATTAAAATATATATATATATATATATATATAAACACTGTTGTAATGTTACTACACTGACACTGGGTGGTGAGTGTGTGAGCTTACTTCAAGTCGGTGCCGGATCAGCCGGGCTATGGTTCGTAGGTTGGACTACATGCGGCCAGCTGTAACAGCCTGGTTGATCAGGCCCTGATCCACCGGGAGGCGTGGTCGTGGACCAGGCTGCGGAGGCGTTGATCCCCGGAATACCTCCAAATACACTCCAGGTAGGTAGACACTGGGTGGTGAGAGGAACAGTGTAGAACTCAGTCTCCAGGTCAATTTCACAAAACATTTGTGACATTTACAGTGAATAGTTCGTGTAAAGGTTACCAAAGGGAGGAGCTTCACAGAGGATCCTCACAGAGGAGCCCCACAGAGGAGCTTCACAGAGGAGAACTTCACATAGGAGCCTCGCAAAACAGTGAATGGGTGAAAATATTGATGCACGACCCGTACAAAATGCTGGTAGACTTGGTGGGTGAATACGTAACAGCCATCATGACGCAGTCCAGTAGCGCGTTGTTCAAGTTCACAATAGACCAGACCAGGAACGGCGCATTCTTAACAGCTGCAAATGAAAAAGGAGATATTTAGTACAGGTGAAATATTTAATAAAGCTGTGGCGTGGATGAAAACAGTGAACAAAAGGACTGAACCCAAGGTTCTCGTTTGTCTTGGTGAACAGGGGCAACAGGTGTCAGGAGACTTGGTCTTATGTCTCGACTCTCCACAGACTGGATCCTGGGTCATTTGTTATGAGCCGAACTTGCTACCACTGAGTCATGGTTCACGAGATTGGAAGCTTGGGTTCATCATAGCTCGGGCAGGGCCTGCAGTGTCTGCAGTGCCTCAGACTAGGGTGTGTGTGAGGAAAAGTTATTGAAGTGATGTCATCCCTCTGCAATTTCAGGCCAGTAAAAACATAATTTAATTTTGTCATGCAAGGCAATATAATTACTTTAATGTACTGCAAATTGACTAACATTAAGAAATGTTTTTAGCAGTCTTAAGCAGTGGCGGACCTACATTTTTGGGGCTCTGAAGCTTGAACTGTTATGTGGGGACCCTTCGCAACCCCTTCTCATACAGCAGACCAAAAAAAATTTAAGCAATGTGAACTAAAGTGGCTTCTGGAGTCCCTCCAGGATTAGGGGCCCTGAAGCTTAAGCTTCATTAGTATCATAGTAGATCCGCCCCTTAAGTCAATAACTGGAACACAGGTGGAGACACTTACCAGTGCCGTTGTTCCACATGGAGACACCCTCTTGTGCGATGTCGTTGATGGGAAAGTACGCTCCTAAGGTTATTAATGATACTTTAGAGCTCATCCAGTTCCAGTCTGTTGCGTCCCAGGGAATGAACATGGTGGCGTGTAGACTCTTGCAGGCGTCGAGAGCACCGTTCCAGGATAGGCTGTAGTCTTTGATGTAGACCCAACGACCACGGTAAGTGGTGAAGCCAGCGGCCTTGTAATCTGCAGCCAGGACACATGTTGCGAGACAGTACATAATGATGATATACACACATGTGCAACACTTGGGTATCTTTACTGTGGAAACGTTTCGCCAACCAGTGGCTTCCTCGGTCCAATACAGAGAAGAATGATTGAAGATCAGAGGGAGTTTGAGGTAATCAACTCCAGGCTGAGGGACTGATTACCTCAAACTCAATCTGATCTTCAACCACTCTTCTCTGTACTGGACTGAAGAAGCCACTAGTTGGCGAAATTTTTCCACAATAAAGATACCCAAGTGTTGCACAAGTGTCTCAGTCATCATCCTGCCGGTTCTCTGAACCATTCATCTACAATATATGATGCACCAGAGGGAGATGGTGGTGGAGGAGAGCGTTATGAACGGCACCTAAAGACCAAATATCGGTAAAGTCGGTCGTTATGAGATAAGAGGTGATTCCAGGAACTGTGAAGCAACTCCTGCAAGCGCGCGCGCGCGCACACACACACACACACACACACACACACACACACACACACATGCATGGATTCATGGAAGGCAAATCCTGTGTTACAAACCTTCTGGAGTTTTATGACAAGGTAACAGAAGTAAGACACGAGAGAGAGGGGTGGGTGAATTGCATTTTCCTGGACTGCAGGAAGGCCTTCGACACAGTTCCTCACAAGAAATTAGTGCAGAAGCTGGAGGATCAGGCGCATATAACAGGGAGGGCACTGCAATGGATCAGAGAATACCTGACAGGGAGGCAACAACGAGTCATGGTAAGTGAAGAGGTATCACAGTGGGCGCCTGTGGCGAGCGGGGTCCCACAGGGGTCAGTTCTAGGACCAGTGCTATTTTTGATATATGTGAGTGACATGATGGAAGGGATAGACTCGGAAGTGTCCCTATTCGCAGATGATGTGAAGTTGATGAGAAGAACTAAATCGGATGAGGATCAGGCAGGACTACAAAGAGACCTGGACAGACTGGACACGTGATCCAAAAACTGGCTTCTCGAATTCAACCCTGCCAAATGCAAAGTCATGAAGATTGGGGAAGGGCAAAGAAGACCGCAGACAGAGTATAGGCTAGGTGGACAAAGACTACAAACCTCACTCAAGGAGAAAGATCTTGGGGTGACCATAACACCGAGCACGTCTCAGGAGGCACACATCAACCAGATAACTGCTGCAGAGAATGGGCGCCTGGCAAACCTGAGAATAGCGTTCCGATACCTTAATAAGGAATCGTTCAAGATACTGTACACTGTGTACGCTAGGCCCATACTGGAGTATGCAGCACCAGTTTGGAACCCACACCTGGTCAAGCACGTCAAGAAGTTAGAGAAAGGACAAAGGTTTGCAACAAGGCTAGTTCCAGAGCTCAGGGGAATATCGTACGAGGAAAGGTTGAGGGAAATCGGACTGACGACACTGGAGGACAGGAGGGTCAGGAGAGACATGATAACGACATACAAGATACTGCGGGGAATAGATAAGGTGGACAGAGACAGGATGTTCCAGAGAGGGGACATAGAAACAAGGGGTCACAATTGGAAGCTGAAGACTCAGACGAGTCACAGGGATGTTAGGAAGTATTTCTTCAGTCATAGAGTCGTCAGGAAGTGGAACAGCCTAGCAAGTGACGTAGTGGAGGCAGGAATCATATATAGCTTTATGACGAGGTTTGACAAAGCTCAGGAAGCAGAGAGAGAGAGGATCTAGTAACGATCAGTGAAGAGGCGGGGCCAGGAGCTGAGTCTCGACCCCTGCAACCACAAATAGGTGAGTAGACACACACTATAGCCATGAATCGACCCCTGCAACCACAGTTAGGTGAGTACACACAGCAGAGGACAGAGTGGGTCTCCGGGGAGGTTTAGACAAGCTACGAAGGTTGACGGTCAAGCAAGTGGCTGCTGGAGTTCAATCCAAACAAGTGCAAAGTATTGAAATTTATTGAGAAGAGTAAATCCCAGAGACGGAACACATGCCGGAAGATGAGAACCTACAGGTATCGGCCAAAGAAAATAATATAGGCGCATTATGTTCAAAAGCTTGACGAGGTATAGTAGCATACAGTCAGAGTTCTCCCAGAGGAATTGAACCTAACCACCGAGGAAGAGAGGAGAACAAGAGATGGACATGATTACTGCGCATTAAATACCCTGGGGAGCTAATAAGGTAAATGGATACATTTTTTTTACAATGAGAGGACCAGATACAAAGGGACATGGGAGCGAGTATAAAACATAGATTAGTCACAAGGGTGTTAGGAAGCACTTTTTCAGCGTCAGAGTAGTAGGAAAGTGAAGTACCTGCAGGTGGACCTGCCAAGCATGGGCCAGTGGACCATCTTCAGTGCTCCTTTCTTATGTTCATATATATATATATATATATATATATATATATATATATATATATATATATATATATATATATATATATATATATATATATAAAACTTAAGAGGCGCAGTCACGAATCGATGAGTACACAGTTAAAGAAAAGAGGACCCTGGTATAAACACGACACAAAACTTGTCTCACGAGAGGCCCTTAACACCCACACTACAAGGTTCGAAACTAATTCTTTAAAGTTGATAGATTGATCACATCATCTTTACACCTACACTGCTTTTGCTGTCTCTATATTCGACTGAAGAAGGCTGCTGTGTGTAGGCGAAATGTTTCGACAGTAGATATCCAACTGCTGTACATGTGTCTTACTCATCTAAATGCAAAAAGACCTGGATGAAACTTTACAAGGGAGGTAACAAGAGCAAGTATTTATTATTAAATAAATGGTTTTGAAATTCGACTAATGAATAAATGAGACACTTGTGCAACACTTGGGAATCTTTATTATGGAAACATTTCACCAAACCAGTGACTTCCTCAGTCCAATACAGAGAAGAATGGTGGAAGATGAGAAGGAGTTTGAAGTAATCAGTCTGGAGAAGTGTTCAGTCTCTCAGTTTTTATCACGACCTGCTGAGAAAAAGGTCGTGGAAGATGAAAGGAAGTCTGGGGAGTTGAAATCAAGGCTGGAGAGCTGAAAGTAAGCCTGGGAAGCTGAAAGCAAGTCTGGGGAGGTGAAAGCAAGCATGGGGAGCTGAAAGCAAGTCTGGGGAGGTGAAAGCAAGCATGGGGAGCCGAAAGCAAGCATTCAGAGACAGTAGAGCTTACCAAACTGACAGGTGGCGTTTGTGTTGATGTAACCCGTCGGACACACGCATTCGACATTGCAGAGAGAGTACATCGTCATATCTGTGCACTGCGCATCACTGCTACACTCCTCTCCAAGGTAGCGACAGTCTGCCGTACAAGTTCTGTAGTTACCCTCTCAAGGATTAGACTGATTCCAGTGACTACCATCCACAAGATGGTTGTGTGTGGTGACTACCATACACAGGATGGTTGTGTGAGGTGACTACCATCCACAGGATGGTTGTGTGGTGACTACTATCCACAGGATGGTTGTGTGAGGTGACTATCATCCACAGGATGGTTATGAAGTGACTACATCCACAGGATGGTTGTGTGAGGTGACTGCTATCCACAGTATGGTTGTGAGGTGACTACGACCCACAGAATGGTTGTGGTGACTACTATCCACAGGATGGTTGTGTGTGTGGTAGCTACCATCCACAGGATGGTTGTGTAGTGACTACCATCCACAGGATGGTTGTGTGTGTGGTGGCTACCATCCACATGATGGATGTGTGTGATGACTACCATCCACAGGATGGTTGTGTGTGGTAACTACCATCCACAGGATGGCTGTGTGAGGTGACCACTATCAACAGGATGGTTGTATGGTGACTACCATCCACAGGATGGTTGTGCGTGATTACCTTCCACAGGATGGTTGTGTAACATTATTGTGTAGAGCACTGGATTGATTTATGGTTACAGAGCTGTGTGTGTGTGTGTGTGTGTGTGTGTGTGTGTGTGTGTGTGTGTGTGTGTAAGCTCCTTGCATCCTCCAGAAAGCAGGATAACTCCGTGACATAACATAATTCTAAAGATTGAACATTAAAATGGTATAAAATACCGACAGGTTGTTAGGTAAGATACATATGCAACAGTTAGGTATCTTTATTATGAAACGTTTCATAATAAAGATACCTAACTGTTGCATATGTGTCTTACCTAACAACATAATTCTAAAGAGAAGGATAATATTATAAGGTTGAATTCTTTCTAGAATTACAATTTCTAACGTTCCCGGAACCCTCTTAGGAAGCAAGAGAATAAATCTAGAAAGAATAAACCTAGAATGCGGGATAACACTGTTGTATAGGCTTCTTCCTAGAATTAGGATATCTGATGTTCATACAGATAGCAACAGAAAGTAGGATAAGTTCTAGTAAGATAAATCTAAATGGTAGGATATCTTTAGATAGGATTTTTAATAGAATTAGGATACCTCAAGGACGTGAAATAATATACCCTAAGGCAGTAGCATACCCCAATATGGCAGGATATCCCTGTAAGGTAGGATACCGCAGTTAAGTAATGCATCCCAGTATAGGATACCCCAGTTAAGCAAGATTTTTCCATTAAGATAGGATACCCAGTTAAGCAAGATATCCTAGTAAGGATACTCCAGTTAAGCAAGATATCCTAGTAAGGATACCCCAGTAAAACAAGATATCTTAGTAAGGATACCCCAGTTAAGCAAGATATCCCAGTAAGGGTATCTCAGTAAAGCAAGATATCCCAATAAGATAGGATACCCCAGTTAAGCAAGATATCCCAATAAGATAGGATACCCCAGTTAAGCAAAATATCCCAGTAAGATAGCATACCTCAATTAAGCAAGATATCCCAGTAAGATAGCATGCCTCAATTAAGCAAGATATCCCAGTATAGGATACCCTCCTGGAAGTGTGCTACTACCCCAGGATACCCGCATGAGGTACCGTACCTGAGCAGTAGTAGCGGGTGTTGGCATCTGCTGTGTAGTTAGTCACGTTAGAGAAGATAGTACACAGCATCTCTGTACCGTTCTGTGCTATGTTGTAGCCCACACAGGCAGGAGGTACACAGCTTGCGCTACACTCTATGTTGCTGCCTACCTGTAATATGAAGTGGTACACTGTTAGCTACACGGTACACGAGATGTATATCTCTGGTACGTGTTGTGCTCTGTTGTACATCTCTGGTGTGTGTTGTGTGCTGTTGTATATCTCTGCTGCATGCTGTGCTCTGTTGTACATCTCTGGTGCGTGTTGTGTTCTGTTGTACATCTCTGCTGCATGCTGTGCGCTGTTGTACATCTCTGGTGTATGTTGTGCTCTGTTGTATATCTCTGGTGCGTGCTGTGCTCTGTTGTACATCTCTGGTGTGTGTCTCAGTAGTAGTTATCATGTGGGATTCGAACACGTGGATAGGGTAAAGTAATACTCACGTAGGCTGGAAGTACGTATAATTACGGATAATGTGGGGAGCGCCCAAACAGCCGTAACCTTGCCTCCTTGCTCACTCTCGTATGACTAACTGGCTGCCCACAGTACCCATATGTGAGGGGGTCTTTGAATACTGCTGTGACTACCAACCGTCTCTGCCTGAGTCACTGTCTGTATTCATATTGTGCTGACCACAGCAGTATTCAAAGACCCCCTCACATATGGGTACTGTGGGCGGCCAGTCAGTTATACGAGAGTGAGCAAGGAGGCAAGGTTACGGCTGTTTGGGCGCTCCCCACATTATCCATAATTATACGTACTACCAGCCTACGTGAGTATTACTTTACCCTATCCACGTGTTCGAACTCCCACATGATATGTGTTGTGTTCTGTTGTACATCTCTGGTGCGTTCTGTGCTCTGTTGTATATCTCTGCTGCATGCTGTGCTCTGTTGTACATCTCTGGTGTGTGTTGTGTTCTGTTGTACATCTCTGGTGCGTGCTGTGCTCTGTTGTATATCTCTGGTGCGTGCTGTGCTCTGTTGTACATCTCTGGTGTGTGTTGTGTTCTGTTGTACATCTCTGCTGCATGTTGTGCTCTGTTGTACATCTCTGCTGCATGCTGTGCTCTGTTGTACATCTCTGGTGTGTGTTGTGTTCTGTTGTACATCTCTGGTGCGTGCTGTGCTCTGTTGTATATCTCTGGTGCGTGCTGTGCTCTGTTGTACATCTCTGGTGCGTGCTGTGGCCCGGTGGCCTGGTGGCTAAAGCTCCCGCTTCACACACGGAGGGCCCGGGTTCGATTCCCGGCGGGTGGAAACATTCGACACGTTTCCTTACACCTGTTGTCCTGTTCACCTAGCAGCAAATAGGTACCTGGGTGTTAGTCGACTGGTGTGGGTCGCATCCTGGGGGACAAGATTAAGGACCCCAATGGAAATAAGTTAGACAGTCCTCGATGACGCACTGACTTTCTTGGGTTATCCTGGGTGGCTAACCCTCCGGGGTTAAAAATCCGAACGAAATCTTATCTTATCTTGTACATCTCTGGTGCGTGCTGTGCTCTGTTGTACATCTCTGGTGCGTGTTGTGTTCTGTTGTACATCTCTGCTGCATGCTGTGCTCTGTTGTACATCTGTGGTGCGTGCTGTGCTCTGTTGTACATTTCTGGTGCGTGTTGTGCTCTGTTGTACATCTCTGTTGTACATCTCTGGTGCGTGTTGTGTTCTGTTGTACATCTGTGGTGCGTGCTGTGCTCTGTTGTACATCTCTGGTGCGTGCTGAGTTTAAATATGTGGCCTGTAGTTATAACTTTTCTCTTGACCCGGTCGGTACAGAATATCAAAGTCATAACACGATAGTTCCATCCTCCAGCGTAATATCTTGTCATTCTTTATCCTACTTTTGTGCGTCTTGTCGAACATATACATCACGGACCGTTGGTCAGTCCTTATGGTGAAATGTCTACCAGTTAAATAATGCCTCCAGTGGCGAACTGCTTCTATGATGGCCTGGGCTTCCTTTTCTACAGCAGCATAACATTTCTCTGATCCTTGAAAAGTTCTCGAAAAGAAGGCTACTGGTCGTCCTGCCTGAGATAAGACTGCAGCAATGGCAATGTCAGATGCATCCGTTTCCACTTCGAATGGTAGGGACTCATCAATGGCTTGAACTACTGAGTTTTCAATGTCCTGTTTGAGAGTATGGAAAGCGGCTTCTGCTTCCTTTGTCACAGGAAATGTGGTAGCACTCAATGGGCGGACTTTACTTGAATAGTTGTAGATCCATTGTGAGTAATAAGCAAAGAGACCAAGAGTTCTTCGGAGTGACTTTTTGTCTTGAGGCATTGAAGTTCCCGTAGAGGTCGTAGTCGTTCAGGGTCTGGGAATATTGAACCTCCTTCCACTACATAACCAAGGATGCTAAGCCTTTTAGTTGAAAAAGTGCACTTTTCCTCATTGTAACTGATATTTTTCTTCTTGGCGGCTTCCAAAAACTTATCAAGGTTTGCATCATGTTCCTCCTGGGTCTTGCCACAAATGGTAACATTATCTAAATACGCGTAAGTTCCCATGAGTTGCTCTTCCTGAATGAGTGAATCCATAATTCGTTGGAAGCAGGCTACCCCATTGGTGACTCCAAAAGGGACTCTGGTAAACTGATACAGGCCATCACTAGCCTGAAACGCTGTGTATGGTTTATCTTCATTCCTTATAGGGACTTGATGATAGGCACTCTGCAGATCAATTGTGCTAAACACGATAGTACTGAGCAATTTTGTTCACTGTATCGTCAATTCGAGGTAGAGGGTACCCATCAAGAAGTGGTAAATTTGTTGATTGTCCTCAGAGTAATCGATAGCCAGTCTCCGTTTCCTATAACCATCTTTAACAACAACAACCTGTGCACGCCAAGGGGAATCACTGGGTTCTATAATACCCTCCTTCAGCAGCCTCTGAGTTTCTTTCTCAATGAACATCCGATCCTCATAAGAATAGCGGCGTGACTTAGCTGATATAGGATGGCAATCCGCGGTAAGATTTGCAAACAGCTTGGTGGGTCTACCCTTAAAGTGCTAAGTCCACAGACAACAAGAGGAGGCAGTTCACCTCCATATGTTAAGGTGACACTACCATGCAGCTTCTGAAGTCCTGACCAAGGATAACATCAGAGCACAGTTGTGGCAGAATAGCTAAATGTACATCTTGATAATCCTTTCCATTAACTCTGAGAGTTTACCTTACAAAACCCTAAGGTCTGAATAGAGAGAGATGTTGATGCCATGGAAACGGTACCTGATGAGTGATGTAGAGTCAAGGAGAGCCGTTAAACTAAGTCAAGGTTGATGAAACTCTCTGAGCTGCCACTATCAATAAGACCATCTACTTCTGTTCTTTGATGAATACTTTCACAACTGCCTTTGACAGTGAATTTGGAGTAGCCGCAGAAGTCACTGTTGCTAGAGTCGCATGATCACTGGAATGTGTGGAGGCACTAGCTCTTGTTGATGCATTAGCACGACATACTTTAGCAAAGTGACCTTTCTTGTGGCTTTTATGGCACATTGCTTCACGAGCAGGACACTTTGGACGTGGATGTCTTGAAAAACCACAAAAGAAACACACCGTACCTGCTGCTGCTGTCACTGAGGCAGGTTTCCCCAGTAATTCATCATTGCAAGAGTCTTGGTCAGGAATTGCAGCACTTACCACTCGAGAAGGCTGAGTGGTACTGTATACTTCAGAATTCTTCTGGGCTGAATCTAGAGCTCTTGCCTGGTCAAAGGCAGCGGCTAAGTCCGAGAGTTTTATTCTCCAATAAACGCTGCCTTATTATTGGTGATTGCAGGCCACTGATAAAAGCATCCCTGATGGACTCTTCACAATACTGAGCAGCTGTCACTGCTTGGAAGTGACAGTCCTTACCTAAAATTTTCAGTGCTTGAAAGTATTCCTCTAAGGACTCATCAATCTGCTGGCGGCGAGTTGCAAGGCGATAGCGTGCAAAGATTTCATTTGTCGGTTTAATATACTGAGACTTGAGGGTTTTGATAGCATCTTCGTAGGTATTACACTCAGAAATAGCCTCATATATCTTAGGTGACACAAAATTGATTGAGCAGACTTAGTTTATCTAGATCTTCTTTAGGAAGGGCTCCCAAGAAGTTTTCGAAAGTCTTAAACCAGTGCTTCCATTCCTGAGCAGCCGTTGATAAGCTGGGGTCACAGTCTAGCCTCTCAGGTTTCAGTAAACGCTCCATGTTGTGATGTAGTCTAGCGCAGGATCACCACCAGGTAGCCCAGGATTCTATGTTCAATAAAATGTGATGATTGTCTCAGAGTAATCGATAGCCAGTCTCCGTTTCCTATAACCATCTTTAACAACAACAACCTGTGCACGCCAAGGGGAATCACTGGGTTCTATAATACCCTCCTTCAGCAGCCTCTGAGTTTCTTTCTCAATGAACATCCGATCCTCATAAGAATAGTGGAGGCCTGGTCTCAGACCGGGCCGCGGGGGCGTTGACCCCCGGAACTCTCTCCAGGTAAACTCCAGGTGTTGTACATCTCTGGTGCGTGTTGTGTTCTGTTGTACATCTCTGGTGCGTGCTGTGCTCTGTTGTACATCTCTGGTGCGTGCTGTGCTCTGTTGTACTCTCAGTAGTAGTAACCAGTTACCATCTCAGTAGTAGTAACCAGTTACCAGTGACCAGTGTACCGGTGGTTGACTCACTGCCAACCGTCTCTGCCTGAGTCACTGTCTGAACTCATATTGTGCTGCCGAGCTCTCAGTAGTAGTAACCAGTTACCATCTCAGTAGTAGTAACCAGTTACCAGTGACCAGTGTACCGGTGGTTGACTCACTGCCAACCGTCTCTGCCTGAGTCACTGTCTGAACTCATATTGTGCTGACCTAGCACTATACAAAGACCCCCTCACATATGGGTACTGTGGGCGGGCAGTCAGTCAGTGTTACGAGAGGAGCAAGGAGACAAGGTACGGCTGTAAGGGAGGGCGCTCTCCACATTATCTGTAATTATACGTACTACCAGCCTACGTGAGTATTTCTTTACCCAATCCACGTGTCGAACTCCCACATGATAGTACATCTCTGGTGCGTGCTGTGCTCTGTTGTACATCTCTGCTGTATGATGTGCTCTGTTGTACATC